CCCATCCCCCCCCTCGACCCATTAACAACTTAAAGGCTAAGGGGAAAAGGCGCTTTTTATATTTTTTTATTGCCTTGTTGGGGGAGGGGCTTGGGTTTTCCCAAAGAATTCATAATGACAAGCGAGAAATTTTAATATTGTGCTACTTTCGGCTCCAGACATAATGTCTGCCTTGGGGGCATGCCACAGCCCTCAGCCCACAGCCCACTGGCCATGGGGCATTGTTAGCCGCCGCACAGCAAGAGATGCAATAAAATATATAAAAAATAAAAAAAAATGCTCATCAAATTGTCTACCGAGACGGGGGCGGTGGCGGTGGCGGGTGCTGGGGGCATGGCCATTGCTGAAAGGCGACTGCCACTATTAAAAAGTTTTTCCTTGCCAGATCCGCCCTTTCGGTTAAGAAATAATAAAGAACACCAGAAAAGTAGACGAAAGGATGTTCCGTGTCCTGAAGAAGTTCTTGCCCCAATAATGAGCTTAGTATGCATAAAGCGGTGTGGCAAGCGAATGAAATTCTCAAAATACATATATTTTCTGGACAATTTTCTTATGGTGGACAAAGGAGTGGGTGGTGGGGGGCGGTTTGGGGCTGCAGCAATACAATGGTGGAAATTGGCATTCGTAAGCCAAAAGTTTTGGGGCGCGGGAGAGCTTGGACTTGGTCTTAGACTTGGATTATTATAAAGTCTTTTAGTCTTTCATTCATTTTGGTCACTTGGCCAGAGAAAAGTTTCACAAAAGAGAATTGATTGCATTACTAGGGGGCGAACGGAGCCCGGGGACGAACGGGGTATCTGTGCGCCTCTGGGGTATCCTTTATGATCGCCTTAAAGTGGTTTAGCAAAAAACACTGCTCTTTGGTTGATGGAACGCCGCCTGGCATCCAAATCCTAGAGGGATCTTCATTTTCAAAGCTAACGAGCGGCAAGGGCCGCGGCTCTACTTAGTTTTCCGCCGCCGCCGCCTCCTAGCATCTAAATACTGGGAGTTGAGGCATGGGCCGCGGCTTTACTTATAAATTAAGGCGCGATACTCCGTTCTCCGCCGCCGCCGCCGCCGCCTCCACCTCCTGGCATCCAAATCCTACAGGGATCTTCATTTTCAGAGCTAACGAGCGGCAAGGGCCGCGGCTCTACTCAGTTCTCCGGCACCGCCTCCGCCTCCGCCTCCTAGCATCCAAATACAGGAAGATGCGGCAAGGACCGCGGCTCTACTTACAAATGAATACGCGATACCCAGTCCTCCGTTTATCCTCTTTCCATTTGATGATCTATTTGACCAGAATTATGGAATATTTCATTTGTTTCCTTCCTACTTCCATTCTCCACCCAAAATCGCTGTTTTCTCTACTTTTCGCGCGAAACAAGTTGCCAGCTTCAACCGCAGACCCCACAAAATGGTTATTTCTTTGTATTTACCCCCCTGCCCCCCTCCCTTGCTGGCAAGCCCCAAACTGTGGCAACTTTTTAGCATTCCGCACAACATTCGCCAAAGCCAATTAGCAAAGTTTTCATTTATCAAAGCCCCCCCCCCCCCTACACCCCCCTTTTCGCAAAAACCTTTTGCTCTTTTGATGAACTTCCCCTCCATCCCACTACCCCCTCAAGGCGTCATGCAAATGCTGTGTAGTGGCCGTAAAAACACTCAAAAAAAAAAAAAAAAATGAGATAGAGAGAGGGAGAAAAATCAAACGAAAAAGAAAAAAATGTAAACCGCAAATTTTCCATGTCATTGCATAAGTCGCTTCATTAGTCCGAAACCAAAAAAAAAAAGAAGAAGAAGAAAATGTTCCACGCAAGATGACATCAAAAGGAAAAAGGGGAAAAGCCAGCAGAGCGCGAGAGGGAGAGAGAGAGAAAGAGAAGAAAAACCACAAGAGTAAAAGAAGGCGACATGTTTTTCCGTTGGTTAATAAACTGCAACGAAATCTGACAAGAGGGCAAGGGGGAAGGGAGAAGGGGGTGGGAAGTGGGGGAAGGGAGAAGGAGGTGGGAAGGGGGGCCCCCACAGCCATCATGAATGCCGGTGCAGGGATTCCGCGGCTGCCAGTTAGAATTTTGAAAATGAACCGCAAAGAAACCCCCAAATAGACCGCGCAAGGACCTTGCCCCCCCTCCCCCCTCCCACCTCCCCACGCTGGCAAATAAAAGGCGAGAAAACAAAACCGAAAATTGTCAAAGGGTTGTGCGCGTAAACACCAGCCACCCCCCACCCCCCACAGCCCCACCGCTCCACCGTCCCACCCCCAAGAAAGTGCCACCAAAAACAAGAGGATTTTCTTTAAGTATTTTGCCAATAAATTTAAATCACAGACAGTTAACCAAGGAGCAACGCACTCGCTGAGGGGCAACAAAAAAAAAAGAAAAGAAAACAATAGACAGGGTAAAAATCCAAGCCGGAAAAAAAGGGGTCGCGCGACAGAAGAGGTACAAACGGAAGCGGCATTAAAAACCAACAAACGCACAGAGAGGAGAAAGGAAAAAGAATATATAGAATAAACAAAGGACCCAAAAGGGAAAAACCCAGTCACGAGGCAGAGGAAACGGCAAGGAAAGCGCGTCAGAAGCCAAATAAAGCGTTAAAAGGATTTATTCGCAAGGCGAACAGGGGGTGGGCAGGTGGAGGCCAGGGGGTGGCCTGGGGGAGGCCAGGTGGGGGCCAGGGGGTGGCCAGGGGGAGGCCAGGTGGGGGCCAGGGCGGTGCCCAGGGGTAGTGCCCCATAAAACCAGCTTACAGGTGGCATCTGCACCCCAATCTGCCACCAATCTTTGCTGCTCCTCCTTTTTTTCCCTATTTTTGCAAAAATTAAATACGCGGAAATGTTTGGATATATACATTTTTTTTTATGTTTCACGCATAATTGTTACACCCCCCCCAGCCCCTACACCCCCTCTCTTGCCCTCTTTTTTTACAATTTTATTTAGAAATATTTTGTGCCATAATTTGCGCATATAAACAATAATCTTTTGTGAGAGTTTTCAACATAAATTGCGTATATCCTGACTGGATTTTCTTTCCCCCCCAAGAACCCCCCCCCATGGTACACAATTTGTTGTTCCACAACTGAAGATAACTTATAAATCATGTAATCAGAACAACAGCAGCACAGAAAATGGGAGCAGAGCATGAAAAACTGAAATTGCTTTTTGTTGCCAGGGAATGGGGTGGCCTTCCTCCTCCCCCCCCCCCTCTGTGCCAACTCTGGAATGCTTTCACAACTCTCTATAATTTATTGTGCCTTGTATAACTTTATGATTGCTTGGGCAGTGGGCGGTGGGCGGTGGGGGGGTGGCGAGTGGCACAGGAATTGATTTTGATGGATAAGGGAATTAAAAAGTACTCGCCAACAGAGTGCCTGCCTTGGGCAGGGCAAGGGGCGGGCCCAGAGTTTCCCTAGATTCCATATTATATGTACAAGTGGAGGATTAGTGTTCCATATCGAACAAATGGTACCACATTTCGTGGCTCAATTGCTGGAAACTTACAGGGTCCATTGGATTGATGGAATTTGCAGCTTGTTATGGATTTGGGGGAATATTTTTCAAGGGCTATCCTTGCTCTCTGCTTTGCCCTTTGCCATGGGCTATTCCGTCACATTGTTTTCCAACTAAATAAATACTTGAAGAACTTTTTGCCGCCGCCTTTTTGTGTGTCAAACTTGCGTTCGTTTTCCCTTTCACGGGAATAGTTTTGTCACGAGTCACGGCTGCAACAAGCACACCACCTGGCGGTGGGGATTAGTTCAATGTCAAGCAGTGCATAACTTTGAAAGAATGCCACAGAGTGGGGGGGGCACCTCCTGTGGGGGCTGTGGAACAATAATGGCAACCGGTAAAGATATATGGAGCATGCAGAGCATTTCCCCCCCCCCCCCCCCATCCCCTTCACCATTTCCCCATTTCGGCTATGAATAATTCCCCTTTTGGAGCTGTCGTGGCTGTTGCTTTTGCTTTTGCTGTGCATTTGCTTGTTAATATTTTCATTTCCGTTGTTTTATGGCCCGATTCCGAAACATTGCCTAGACAGGCTAACAAAGGATATACGCTGCTTCAGAGGGGATATACACTCCTCGAGAGAGAGGGAGAGGGGGAGTGGGGGAGGAAGGGAGGTAGGGTGGTGGGTGGTGAAAGCGCTGCAAGTCGAGTGGCGCCCTGTTTTGCAAGGACAAAACGAGAGGCGAAACAAGAAGCAACAGCTTCGAGTACAGGGAGAGAAGGAGCCACAGGAGGAGCAGAAGCAGCAGGAGGAGGAGCAGCAGGAGGAGCAGGAGGAGCCACAGGAGGAGCCACAAGAGGAGGACCCACTGGAGTAGCAGAGGGAGCCACAGCAAATGAAAAGCATTACATTACATTCCACAAGGCTTATCATTGGGGAGGGGGGGGGGGGGGGGGGAGGGGTGTGGTGGGGCAGTCGTTCTCCTCCTCTCGTTTTTCCACTCCATTGTTTGCATAAAATTGCAATTTACAATTATGAGCAAAGAACTGTGAAAACAGTGTACAGCGATGATAAGTGAAAATGGGGAAATGCTTTCCCTTTAGATAAGGCGCTGGGCGATGAAATGTAACAGAAACGAGAAAACAGAAACAGAAACAGAGACATTAGCTAAATGAGACACAAAACGTTGATAAATTGCCAGCAGAAAGCAGAAGAGAGGGGAGTAGAGAGAGGGAGGGAGAGGAGAGGTTCCTTCCAATAGAAGAAAGTATTCCCCGACAGTGGCAAAAGATCCTTCCATAATTAGACACGCGTCTCTTCAATGGGGAGGACACAAGATGGAGGCAGTGGCAGTGGCAGTGGCAAGTGGCAGGCATAAATTAATGCCAGCAAAGGCCCAGACGAGACATCTTATCATTAAATTAGTTGCCCCTCCCTGCCATCCACCCTGCCTAAATGAGAGATTATGGGCACAGGCGGGGGCGGGGGGGCAATAAATTACCCAAAAATCCGAGCGCATTTGCGACCCCCCAAAAAAATCTGAATGATGGACAAGGACTTACCTCCGTATCTGCAATTTGTTTTATCAGCGGGTATATTGCCATTCGGTTCGAGACGATCCAGATATTCCTCCGAATTGTAGCCATTGTATGGAACTTTGTTACCGTGATTATGATGCCCGCCATGGCCGCCGCGATGATGATGATGATGATGGTGATGATGGTGCGCCGTCGACTCGTCGCCATCTTCGCGGGAAATTGCTGCAAGAAAAAGAACCAAAGAAAGCATTCATTGAGGGGGATTTTTCACACAGAGTTTTCAACACAAATTCCTGTGGTCACCCAATTGCCATTCACACGTCTACCTCGGTCATTCCCCTGCCCTGCGCATTCCCCTGTCAATATCCATAAACGTTCAAGTGGTTTTGCCTCCACTTTACAGTTTTACACACCCTTTTGCGGACAGTTTTAGGCGACCCCTCTTTGAGCACACCCTTTGGAGGGGTGCCAGGCTCTTTGTGGGTCCCCGCAGGACTCTCACTTTTCTCGATTTAAGCCTTTCTCTGGCTGCAAATGTTTTCCGGTTTTGTTCCTTGTCAAAATTTATCAAATTAAACCTTTATGGGGATACGTTTTCCCCCCCCTTAAGGCTCCCAAGGGCTCTCTGGCACTTAGGAGGGGGGGGGGGGGGGGGGAAGGACTCACGAGTGGACGCCATTTTCGAGGCTATTTTCGAATGTGTCGAATATGCAAATGAGGAGTCGAAGCTCTGGCACACAGGGCCACACGAAAAAATTGCCTAAGCTTTTGTACAAATTTATATGGCACTCGAAAACCAAAAAAACCAAAAAAAAAGGGGAGGACGACGGCATGGCAGGACATCAGAGAGGCGGGGCATGTGGCACAGTGGCTTCTAATTTCCAAAACGGAAACACAAAAGGCGCCCAGCACGAGGCCCAGGCCCAGGCCCAGTCAGTGTTTTGGCCAAGATTACCAGCCAGGTAGCTTCTGGCTTCTACCTTGTTTTTCCGCAGGCCCAAAGCAGAAAAAACGCGAAACGAGAAGGGAAATTGGTTGGATATTAGCTTACACACACACATACACACATACACCCCTTTTAGCCCCTCGCCTCCCCCACTTCCATGGGGTTTTAGATGCCTTTCCTGGTGAGCCTGCAATTTGCTAACGATATGCATACAAGTGGGCGTGGGCGTGGGGCGTGGGGCGTGGGGCGTGGCGTGGGCCCACTCCTGCCGGACCCATGAATTTTTTTGCGGCATTCAAGTCAGTCAATAAATTGTAATCAAGCAGAGTGGGGCACAGCGATGGAATTCAGGGCCTTTTAAAAAAAAGCGAAAGACGTGGAAAACCTGTGCCTCGAATTCCGGAAAAACCTTTGGAACTTTACAGAGTTTTTTTTGGGGAGAGAGGCTGCTCCCCGTCGTCCTATATTAAGGCAGTTAGTTTCAAGGAAAAGCCCCACAAATATCTCCCCCCAAAGAGTTGTCCACAAACAAAATGAATTATGGAAGAGCCAGAGGGAGGGGGGGGAGCGGAGGGGGTGAGGGGGTGAGCGGAGGAGCAGCAAATATGTTTAATTAATAGCTAAAGCAAATACGACATGAACCCAAGGGATAGATAGATCCACCCTCGACCACGGCCACGACCACTCCCAAGGGATGATGTCACCCCCCCCCACTCCCGCACCCCCAAATCACAAATCACAAAATTACCGCAAATTGTCGCTACAAATAAGCAATTTATTTGGGTCTGCCATAAGAAATGAAAGAACAGAAGACTTTTCGAATGATTTTTGGGTGGAAAGAGCGAAGGAAATCTCATAAACTTGTGCCAAAACACGTTGTCCACGAAAGGGGGGAGGGGGGGAGGAGTTGGAGGAGCAGTAGATGGACGTGCAATCAATAAAATATGTTCCCCATAAACCATGCACAGCCCCCCAAAAGGAAGCGCTTTTCTGCACATTATGCAATGAGAATGGCAACCACAAAGACCAGAGTTGCCAACATCCAGCATCAGCATTAGCTTTAGCGGGAGAGTGGGAGATTGGGAGAGAGAGGGAGCGGGAGATTGGGGTAGCGGGGTAGCATTATGCATGAGAGTATTTCCATTATGTGGAAAATTGAAAAGCCAACAACCACATGGCCCTGCCCCCGCCCCCGCCCCTGCCCCCGCCCCTGCCCTGCCCTGGAAAAACTTTAAACTAAGTTTTCCTACACTTTACTTTGGGTTTATTTCTCGGGTGATTTATTCGAAAGAAAGCGCCACAGAAATGCGAGGACTACGTACTGCTGACGCATCGCATCGCAACGGAGTGACAGACAGGACAGGACAGGACAGGACAGGACAAGGCGAGAACACTAGTCGGACAGGACTTGCGACAAGAGAAAAGCCAATTGAACAAAGCCCGCAAATTGCGAGAGCAGCAGGAGTGAGAGGGAGGGGGAAGAAGGGGTTAGAAAGCAGAAGAGAGGCTAAATTAAATCAAAGCAAAACCAGGAAAAAACGAAGAAAAAAAAGCTTAAAAAAGGAGGGAAAAACTTCATCGAATAAATGCAATAAATTGGTAAAAAAAGGAGGAGAAAAAAAGACAAAAAAAGAGGAGAAAACGAGGGGGAACGTTGTGAGTTGCTGCGGACACCGCAACTCTACGGTTATACCCGATACTAAGTCAGTATGGCTCTCCTCCGGCAGACGCCGCTAATATTTAACGACACGACAAAGAGTGCGTGCGAGAGAGACAGAAAATCAGTCTGAGCGTGACGTCGGGCGCTGCGTAGCCAGTGCAAATTGATTTGCTCCTTTTGGCTATGAAAATGATCTGATCTGATCCAGATTCAGCAACCTGATAGATATGGTTATTATCTATGATTCTGCGTTTTTAGTTTTCTCAAATCTGCAATATTGTGGATGCAACAGATTTTCGTCCTTTGTGGGGGCGGATGGGGGTGGGGCGAAATTCTGAGATATACGTTTTATAGTGTCATCTTAAAGGAGTGTGTGTACCAAATTTGGTTACTCTAGCCTTAATAGTCTCTGAGATTTGTGGTTGCCTCAGATTTTCGTCCTTTGCGGGGGCGGAAGGGGGTGTGGCGAAATTTGGACAGGAAACGGTCAAGGTCCGATATCACAGGAGTGTGGATACCAAATTTGGTTGCTCTGGCTTTTATAGGTTCTGAGATCCTTGAACTCATATTTTGCAATTGGCAAAACCGACCATGAAACCTGTGTGTTAGAGTGAGACAGAGCGAGAAAGAGTGAAATTGTTTTCGTGATTCTGGCTGTAATAATTATACGATCTGGTTCAGATTTTGCACTCTAGAAGATATAGTCATCTTCTACGATTCTGCGTTTTTAGTTTTCTCGTATCGTCAAAATTGTGGATGCCACAGATTTTCGCCCTTTGTGGGGGCGGAAGTGGGCGGGGCAAAGTTTTGAAATATTTTTGGAGCAGTGACATATCACAGAAGTCTGGATCCAAAACATCGTTGCTCTAGCTCTTATAGTCTTTGAGCATTAGGCGCTGAAGGGGACGGACAGACGGACAGACGGACAGACGGACAGACGGACGGACGGACAGACGGACAGACGGACAGACGGACAGACAGACATGGCTCAATCGACTCGGCTATTGATGCTGATCAAGAATATATATACTTTATGGGGTCGGAAACGATTCCTTCTGGACGTTACACACATCCACTTTTACCACAAATCTAATATACCCCAATACTCATTTTGAGTATCGGGTATAAAAAGGAGAAAAAAAGAGGAGAAAAAAGGATAAAAAGAGGAGAAAAAAAGAAAAAATAGGATAGAAATAGAAAAAAAGAGTAGAAAAAAAGAAAAAAAAAAAGAAAGAAAAAAAAGAAAGAGGGGAAAAATAAGAAAAAAAGGAGGAGAAAAAGGGGAGAAAAAACGAAAAAAAAAAATACAGAGAAAAAGTGGAAAATACAAGACAGAAAGTGAGGCAAAGATATGGAAAAAAAGTGACCAAAAAACAAGGAGCCAAAGATGCACGAAAATAAACCACTGAGAGCCACTCGTCGTATCTGGGGGATACATCTTTTGGTTAAACGATTCCCCGAGAACTGTAAATCCCATTTATAGCTTTCGGGGGGGTGGGGGGGAGTTTGGGTGGGCTACTAAAACTACTGACCAAATCAAGAAAGTGTTGAGCTGGCAAAGGATTTATTTTGCAGCCATAAAAGAGGATCGCCCATGATTATGAGGCGTCGTGAAAAGTCCTGCCATTCGCTCGTAGGTTTTCCGCTTGGAGATGGATTGTGCCTCGACCCCCCTCATTGACCTCCGCAGAATGTAACTAAACGAAGGAGCGCCAGACAATGGACGTAAATCAGTAATTTATCCTGGAAATTGGTCGACGGCCAGACAAAAGCCAAAAATCCAATTGAAAGCAAAGCTGATGCGGCGACACTTGAAATGCTGACAAAATACATCGCATTAACAAACCCCTCGCCCCTCGCCCCTCGCCACACCCCCCAACCCCCAAATGGAACCCCGTATGGAAGCCGTCTTTTGGTCGCTGGGAACAATGGTCTAAATGCAATTTGCCAAAAAGGACAGGCCCCTGCACCCCCCTCTCTCTCTCTCTGTGTGTGTGTGTGTGTGTTGCATGCCACATGATGTGGCCTCACTGCTGACTCTCACTTGGCATGCAATTAAGGCTCTTTTTGCAATTTAATCAATTTATCAATTAAACAAAAAGCAAAAGCAAAAGCAAAAAAAGGGTGACTTTCTGCTGGGCAGAACCGAGCAGGACATTCCTGATTGTGCTTCATTTTTTTTACATCGTACTTTAAAAGGCAATTTCATTAGCATTTCAAAGTGCCGCCGTGCCACCAACTGAAACAGGACTGTACTCATGGACGACTCATGGACTGCCACTGGTACTCCACTACGGAGGACTCCTCCTCCTCCCTCCTCCTCCTCCACCCTCCTCCCTCCTCCTCCACCCTCCTCCAATTCGAGTCAATAATGTTTGTTAATTGCCCTCCTACTCGTTGTACAGGCTGGGGGCGTGTGGCAACTGTGGGCGTGGCACTGGCGTACAACAATAAAGGCTGCTGTTACGCGCGTCGGCAATTAACTTTTGTAAATAATGCATAATTGCCGGGGGAGAGAAAATGCAGCAAAAAAAAAAGAAAGAAAAACAGAAACAAGAAACTGCTGCCCGGGGGGGAAAAAAAAGAGTAGAAAAAACATGTTGCAATGAACTGTTT